GAAAGTCAACACCAACTCTCAACAGATCTGACAGGCGAACATGCTCCAAACTGACGCTTGAAATATATTATTTGCCTATTGCGTGCTGCAAAAATAGATGTCTAGCAGGAGAGAACAGGCTTCGGCAAACAAACTGACAACAAGCTATGCTTGAGGGGAAGGCTCATGATTTGATCTGGAAGGGAACACTGAGTGTAAATAGGGATAAAATTTACCTTAAGCATGCACGAAAGGCAGAGCTATGAGCCATGGTTTGGACTTCTTCATTCTTCTGACAGAGAACAGCTTGAAACATATCTGCTATTTTATGCCCTCTGATCTATTCTCATTACAAAAAGATACCAGCCAGCTCAGAAAGGTTTTTAAATAATAAAACTTTTTTTTTTTTCCATCCCTGGTATATCAGTTTATCAGTGACCAACGAGAACATAAATTCCAGCAGATGAAGGGATATCCCTTCATCTCGGTGGTAATAAAACTTTAAGCAGAAGTTTCCCTGCCTATAGATCCCTGGCACAAATCTTCCTGATCTTCCTGCGCTGAGGGTCTAAACGTGGGCAAATGGTATGTGGTGCAGCGCTGGCATGCTATTAATATGACTGTTGGGCTCTATAGACCGAATCAGAATTTGTTTAAATGCTGGTATAGCCATGAGCAACATCATCGGGGACATATTTCTGTGGGATGTGGTGACTGATTTTATTTCATGTACTGGGAAAAACCCAGTCTGGAAGCAGGACTCCAGTGAAGGGAAAGTCAGCTATCTCTGCCAGGGATCTCTTTCGCCCCCCCCAACCCCGGAGATAAGCGCAAGATGAAGGGAACCAGTGCAGGAGAGGGGGAAAGAAACGGGCTGGGGGCTTCTCGCTGCTTCTTTTGAAGTCACCAGCAAAACTCCTGCCATCTTCAGCAGGGTTTGGCTGGGCTCCGTGCAGAAGCGCCTTTGAAGATTTTGCTAAGGCTCAAGGCCTCGATCATGGCAACATTTACGCCTGTGAGTAACTCTGTGCAGATGAGCACTTCCAGGGCACTCAGCGGGACTCTTCGTATGAGACTTTGCAGGATCAGTCTTAAGCAATGCGTGCTTAAGAGAAACATTCTGCTTGTGCTTTTATCCTTGACCACATCAAATGAAACGCCTTGGCAGTTCTGAGAGAACGAATTTGCATTGAAAACCCACAGCTCTTACAAGCAGTGAATTAATTATTTTATTAATTTGCTCTTTTTACATTATGGGAAACATTCATCTATTTACATTTTCCTGTCCACACACAAATTAGATAGATAATCCTATGGAAACCCAAATCGTTAAGCCATAAAAACACTCTCCTCGTCTAAAGGCTTTCGAATTTGTGTCTTTTGTTTCAAATCAAAAACATTTTTAAAATCACATTTGGGAATGCAGGTAGGCCAGTGATTTACATTCCAGTTACTTAAAATATGCATTTGACCATTTTCCTTAAAAAAAACCCAAACCAAAAAACCAATAAATTCACAAAGATACAGTTTAAATTAAAGTGATAGTGCACATCAAAGCATTAAGGGAACACCAATAAATAAACTGAAATATATTACAAATAAATTATTTCTATTTACCTTTTCAAATATTAAAAATCTTTAATCCATTTCTTCATCTTTCTTTACAAAAAGATTATGAGAATTTTATGGAAACATCTGCAAAAAATATAATAAATACTTCTTTTTTTTTTAACTTTTGAAGCAGGAAACAAAAGCAACCTTTTCTAAAATTTCCCCCAAGGAAAAAAGAAAACCAATACTTTAGTCCCAAAGTGAAACAGAATATAGGCATTTTTAATATACACTGGGCAGGTTAGACTAAAAACCAATAGTTACAAATTATACTAAAACAGATGATAGAGCAGATATACTAGCATTAGTGTCAGTAAATGAGTCAAGTGGTTAACTAGTGGCATTCTAGGGGCAGAATTATTCTATTTTATATTTCTTGGTCTTGGCTGTATTTTTAATATTTTGCTAAAAAACTAAGTAAACATTACAATACCCTCTTCAGTGCCAAATGAACTAACAGGCGTTCAGCTAAGAATAGATTCATTTAAAATAGATACGAAAAATATTCTATGATATACAAATAGAGTAATTCATAATGTACAAGACTAGACAGTCTTCGCTTTTCTGCTTTTTTAGGGATAAACTTGCTGGATATAAATTTCTGTAGCCACTTGTCAACCAAAGTCTTAACTCATCTTTCATAAAACGTTCACAAAACTAAATAATTCTGCGACAGAGTTGTGAATGTGGACTCTCACCTGGATACTGCTTTGAATATTTCAGTACAAATGAGTTCCAAATAATTAATACTCCCTATGACTATATATGCTCAAAAGTGGCAGTTGGCACGATTACATACTGCAAACACGGTGATGTTTCGTTGCTGCTAAAAGTTAAACGCAGTGTTTCAAAACTAGCAAATACACTGGTATTCAAACGCTTAGAGGGTCAAACCTTTCGAAGCTCCTGTAACACAAAGCACTCTAGGGTTACACTGGATTTCTGATTATTCTAGTTAAAAGTCTTTTATATATTAAATTATTAGCCCTTATCTTGTAAACCACAGCAGTAAATATTTGTGCCCTGTTTATAAAGACATAGCTCAGATATCAATGGCTTTGAGAGGTAGCAAATTCTCTAGTGGTTTTAGTATGCTCTCATGAAAATACTTGGTGCCAGAACCTATTACCTCTCCTATTTTCTTCAATAAAATTAAATTAGCACCTGGCTATGATGTTGTAGGAAAAGAAGCTGTCTGGCATGAACTCAATGAATAGTTTTAGCAAGAGCTTAACTTTTTGATGACGATTTTAAATGCTTTGTAAATGCAAGCTGCAGAATTGCACCACCTGTGCAGTGGGATTTTTCGTGAGTTGGACCATCCATAAAAGAAGTTTAACAGCTACGGGCACAGCCAGCCAGCGCTGGTGTGCGGCAACAGCTGCACCCTGTGCCCCTCCATGGCGGGGGCTGTCCCGGCCCCTGCTCTCGTTGGGAGCAGAAAGCAGCCTGCCTTCCTCTCCCGCATAGCCATGCCCTGCCAGCCAGGGCGAAGAGCATGCAGGGACCAGCGGAGGGGTCCGGAAAGCATCGCCGCGGTGCTGCACACACACCGGGGGCCACACAGCGCTCCTCTGCCCCGGACCAGCCCCATCATCCAAACCAGCTCACGCTAATTCTGCTTTCAGCAGCACAGGCCAGCTAGGCACGCGTGTGCACGCACACACACTCACACGCACAACTTGCTTTCAGCAACATGCCTGACATAGCTTTCCTAATGTTGGCACAAGAGGTTTCGGTAGCGGCGTGGTCAGCATCGTTCCCTGTCAGAGGAGGTGGAGGACAAGCTCCTGCCTCAGCTGGGGGTGGCTGGGGGGGACAGACACGCAGGGGCTGACCTCTCACGCTCCTCTCCAGCCCTATTGTCTGCCATTTCCCCCCAGTATTAATGAGCTACTTGGGACGCATATTTTTCGTGACTGCAAAACAATGGCAGAAGCCAGGGTAGGAAGGCTTGTCGTGAAAAAAAATTAAGCTCATATTGATCCCATAACTTGTGAAAAATACTTTATTGTTCTTCTTCAGATGGGTATTTTATACTATTAAGAGGAGGCTGAATTGGAAACTTACTCCTAGATATGGACCGTTTGGTGATAAGCAGTCTGAACTGTAGCATACAACCGGCTGTGGACAGAGCAAAGCAAGCCTGGCCTGGAAAAGCATCAGAGGCTCCATGTGCAACAATTCGCCTACAGGTGTCCGTGTGTGGCTGCGTGGACGTGTGAGATCAGATGGTCCCACCGAGATTAAGACATCAACAAAACCAAGCTTTTTTTCTTTTTTCTTTTTTTTTTTTTTTTTTTTTTTTTTTTTAACCAATATAATCCATACAATACAATACAAGAGGAATTGACAATACAGTACAATTTTAAAAATTCTTAATACTTGGACAAGAAAATCCTTCTTTCGTATTATCTCTTCAACTGTCATTGCTTCTTATCTCCTTCCTTTTCACTCTTTTATTGCCTTTCAAAATAGATTATTTCCCTGGAAGATCGAATTTACAATCTTCTGCTGATTGAAATGTTTAAGTAGTGATTGATGAAATAAAAATGAGGCAGTTTGTGCAGCTGTGAGTGTGCAGGTATCTTTCCACAGGATCTTTTCTATCCCTCGCCATCTCACCTGCGGGATATGCTTCCACTTTTTCACCCCCACAGATCTGTGTTTTCTTCTCCCTCCCCTCCCCACTCCCGCCCCAGCCCCCTCCCCTTGTGTGACTCCTTAAATTCAGGTGAGAAGGTGTGATTCGGAGGTTTAGAATAAAGTGCGCCATCTGCTTTAAAAAAAACAGTAATAAAAAGAAGGGAATCCGAGTCATAGCTCCTTTCATCTTTTGTGAGGAAGACGGCAGAGTCCGAAAGGATCACCCTGCATGACTGAAATTTCCAAAGTCCCCTACAGTTTGATATTGCTGTACACTGGGTAACAGACTAGCTTTAGGTCAACTAAAGATCATGAGTAAGTTAAACGGAGCATCTACTGTACAGGTGCGCGGGTGTGTGGAAGTCTGAGCGCTGCGTTTATTTGTTTCAAACAGAAAAAAAAAAAAAGGATCGTACTCGTTTACATGAGGCAAAGTGGCAGCATCAGTACATGTGACAAAGCATCGTGAAGACATGGGCGAACCTTCAGAAAGCAAGGGTGATTAGAGGACATCTCTCGGAGGACCGACAACTACGCCACGGCAGTGGAGTTCACTGGGAGCATCGGGGCGGCTGCGTACAGAGAGAGGGGAGGGGGAGAGGAGGGGAGAGAGAGCGAGAGAGAGGAGGAGGAGGAGGAGGAGGAGGAAGAGGAGGCGGAGGAGGAGGTACAAATACTTCGTGGTGACCTTGAGCAGGAGCCTAGAGGGGCAGATTATACATGAGGCTTGTCTTGCCAGAGAGAGTCCTCCCGGTTGGATCCCTTCATAGCCTGGTCTGGGCTTCGGGGATGTATATCTCAATGCTTTCGGCGCTCTCGGTAGCTGAGTTCTGGCGGACCGATGCAGCGCGCTTGGCAGCCATCAGCCGTTTCCGGGCCTCTTGACGCTGCGAGCTTTCCAGAGAGCGTTCTCGTATGAGTGGCACCTGACCTTTCGATGGCTTCTTTGGCACTGGAGGAGGGACCCTTCTCTCCTGATCAAAGCAGAAGGTTAATGGCATTATACAGCTTCTCAGGGAAAGGCGGGAAAAACTAGGATACGTCAGTAGTTAGAACACACATTTTACCTAAGGTTTGTTAGCTCTTATCTGCCTTTCTGTCTTCAGTGAACTGGCTTTTGTGCTCAAGGGTTCATAAACATAGGGCAAGGGCAAAGGGGAGGGGAGGGCCGGCCGCAGTGCTACTTCTCCTCGGGGACGGTGCGTGTGAAACGCCCGGCGCTGCCAGGGCCGAGGCCCCCACCGCTAACCGCTTAGTGCGGCTCCCCGGGGCGGGGGATCCAGGCGTCTCCTCCTGGTGCCAGGGACTAGAAAGGAGAGCATCTCGGCCGCTGCCGCCCGCCGCCAGCGCAGCCGCGGGTGGCTGGGGAGCCAACGTCACTCTCGGCAGAGGAACTCTGGAGAGCCCCGACTCCCGGGCCACCCTCTTCTATACGTGCATTACGCTAGGCGCTCTTGCAACACGGAGATACCGTGGCTTTGGCGTTCCTGAATGCAGATGGGAACTGGCTGCCTGCAGCTGGTGTATCAGAATAAATATTTTAAAAAAACACCATATATTTATGCATATATGTTATAGTGGCTTAATGACTGCTCAAAAATCCCACACTTTGAGTCTCACTGTGCAAGCTCATAAATGCTAGCCTCCTGCTAAATAGGCATGACAAGCTACAGTCAGCTAGAAATAGAAAAAACTGGTAGGAAAAACTTAAAAACCATTAAGACAATATGCATTAATCATCATGGTGGCAGCTAGCTCCGGATACGCGATCAACAAGGAGGACTTTTATGTATATCCTGGTGCATGTACACACACACACAAACAAAAAAAAAACCCAATAAAAACCCTCAGAGAAGGATCTCTCCCAAAAAGGAAAAGTGTATTCAGGTCTGAATTTCAGGCAGCCACAAAGACTTTGTCAAGTTAATTAGATTGTCTTTTAAGTTACATCCCCTTCCAACTGTGAACACGCTCTCTGAGTGAAGGGATTTTATCGCACTACAAAGGTCCCATTCTGCCCTTTCGTTTTCTCTCATGCTGCTCACAACAGCTTCCATGGCTCGAAATATAAAGGTGCTTAGTTACACTTATTCATACTTTGCTTTTTCTCTCCGTCCAAGGATTAATCTATGCTGCTTAAAAAGGGCCCAGTGGCAAAGGCCAAAGGCAACTGCAAATATCAATTCCACAGAAAGTTTTTTCTTCTTTTTTTTTTTTTTATCCTTTTTAAGAAAGGAGATGATCTGTTTCATCTAAAATCATAGACAAATGCTGTTGAAACAGGAACATAGCCAGTGTAATTCTTTAAAATCTTTACCTTCCTACTGTAGGTCCCTTTCTTCAGCACTACTTAACTTCCTTTAACTCGTTATAGTCTTCTTTTTGTTGGAAACTCTTTGAAATGTTTTTCAGAAGCAAAGAAAAGGCACTTTTTTTTAAGGAAAGCTCTCGTTTCTTACTGCTGCAATTGCAAACACTCGGCCTACCCGCTTTACTGTAAAAGCTAATGAAAGACCATACACCAGCGTTTCTGTGCATGCATGTTTGACAGTTTTAACTTCCTTTTCTGACAGATACTGAAAAAAAAAAAGAAGATAAGAAAATGACTTGCCTTCAGTACCTTGGGCTAGGAAAACACATTCCCATTCATTCCCCTACAAAACACACTAGGTGTGCACAAATGGTGTGAACATGGCACTCCTAAGTCAGGAATGAGTATTTAGTCTTGATCGGAGGAGGAGGGAGAGTGCTACCAGCACTGCCTTTGCAAACTTCCTGCTGCAAGATTAATGGGGTTTGATATTATTATGGTTATTTGTCCGAAAGAAAACATCGCTTTGGTCATCGGCAGCCAGCTGACCGTAAGTTGGGGCAGCCCAGACTCCTGTCTGAGCCACTGTACCTGTAAGTCACGTTCCCACTCCTTCTGGTGACCCTACCTGTTGGCTCTATTCTTTGGTATCAGACCAGCCACAGTGGAACTTCAGCCATCAAATTACATACCTATAGGAGCGCGACATTAGACTGTTGATTCCTCTAGGAATGGGTCTGTCTTTTAAGGATTTTCTGAAACATTCATGTATTTTGGCTCACCCAAGTGCTGTTTGTCTCGATGCGGATAGTGAGGAGAAAAATAAGGCAATGGTGCCAAATGAGAATGGAAGTGAAATGTGTCTTACGCTTGGAGATGTGGTAGTTTTTCATGGTGACAGAAGAAGACTACATTTAAAAAAAAGACCAAAGCTCCAGATGATTTTTATGCTACCTTGGGTAAACAACACTACCAGCAAAGTGAACCTGGTTATGAAATAACCCATTTAAAAAAACCCCAAATAAACAAAAAGCAAACAAATGGACAAAAAAAAAAAAAAAGATGTAGAAGTTCTTTCATGTAACATTTTGGAAGGCATATTTTTGATATCTCTCTGTTTGTAATCTGGTTACCAAAGTCAGCGATGGTTACAGTGCTTCCCTAGTTTTTTCAGTAACACAACCTAGAACTCTTGCTATATGCAATAATATGAACCGCAAATGTGATTTATTTAATTTTAAGAATCAATATATAAGGCAGTTCCTTCCAACGATTGATCGTCTAATATGATTAAATGTAAAGCTTAACAAAGTACCACATTCCCATTATCCGATTCACAAAGACAGATTTGGTTTAAAAATATGCCTGAAACATATTACAGATAATATCCCAGATGATTATTATGTAAACATTGTTATTACAATGAAATTAATTTGATATGAGCTTCATTTCACATTTTTAACGTCAACACTGTAACACAGAGGCCTATTTAATCTGTCCAGTATTTGTGCAGGGTTTTAAATGAAGCATACAAAATCTACAATGTTCTACCTTCTTGTCATGAGGATCCATCTGTTTCCAATTATTGGCCTTTAACTGATGAAGTTCATCAAATTTCATACTAATATTTTCTATGGACAACTGCAGCATATCCCAAAACCCTGCTAAATCCTGGGAGGTCGGCCGTGGATGTGCATTAGGATTCTGTACAACAGAAGAAAAAAACACGTTGGCTTTAGTACCTCTTAATGTAAAGCATTTGTGCAAGTGGTTACAAATCTCGCTAGCAAAGCAGTTTCAGCAGATCCAAGCGATCGGTGAGACACACAGAGAGAAACAAAGTGAAGCGCTACTTACTGGTGGGGGGTTTTTGCGAGGAGCCTTGGCTCGGTGTTGAGCCACTGCGCCCCCGCAAGCCCCCGCTCAGCGAAGGCAGCGGCTACCTACTGTGGACCATAGGGAAAGGGCACGTGGCAGGTCCCCTGTGACAGGATCTGCCTAAGGATGTTCCTGGGCACAACCGGTGGGTTCAAGGGTGATATCCTAACGACACTGAAATTAATTGCCAGCCTCCTCTTCGCTTCCATGAGGAAGGATTCCCTGCCATGTTCACGCTTGTAGAAAGACTGATACCTGTGCAAATGTACATTTGCTGCGTGTGCAAATAGTGATAGACCGATGCATGAACACTTCTTCCACACTCTGAGAATCTAAGTGCTACAAAAATACACCATTTCAAGTAAAATTGCCTTTTATTTCTTCATATTTTTTTGATAAGAATAACCTCTGCAGGGTGAAAAGCTCAGAAGAGAACATGCAGAAGCACAGTAATCCCATTTTTACAGGCACATTTTTGGGAAGAGTGAGACTGGGACACAGGTGGAGAGTGTTGCTTTGCGTGTGATAACTCAGTCCAGTTCATCAGCCCCAGAGCATTGCACAGAAGAGCACACCTGGACCGTCAGCATCTCTAGCACGGCATGGGCCAGAGGCTGGTGACCCGACAGGTCCTGTGCTGTCTTGCGTCCCTTCAGCGCAACTCAGCTCTGAACATTTTCTGCATGCGGTGGACATATATGAAATGGTCCCTGCTGCTCCGGCAAAGTTTGTATGAGGGAAAGCTTTCTACAGGATATGTATCTGTAAGCTGGTTCTGAATTGAAACTCTTCAAATAAAATGAGATGTTGCGTACACTCACTTCAAGATGTTTTTCGTAAATGCTGAGCAGTACCTATGCCAATCTGAGCCAGCAAGGTTTCATGGCTGCTGTGGCCTCGTAAGATTACATTGATATATTGTTATTAATAAAGAATAAATAACTTATTATTAGACTGCTGCATGTTGTTTTACATAGCTCAGGTTTTACTGTGTTTAAATTTTCTCCCTCACCAGAAGCAATAAACCAAAAGGAGTCAGTTGCTTGCCTTAAGAAATTTCTATTTGTGCTTTTCACAGCAAAACTGACAAGTGATTTTGATAGGATGATTGTACCACCAAAGTAGCAATTACTGAAAACAATAAAGTACGTATTTTTAGATTTATAAGGAGACCAGAGATTATACTTGCATTCCTAGTTTTTCAGTGTTTGACACTAGCAGGTTGCCCAATTTTAGGCTTTTATTTACAAAGATGTGCAACCAGAATGCTTTTTCAGTTTTTATATTAAGAATTGGAAGGCTTAGACAGAGCCAATTTCTGTTGCATTTGTCCGCTGAGGCAGACTTTAGTTTGGGGCTTGATTTCCAGAGATGCATTAACTGATGCAGAAGATGGTCACCCCACTCTGGTGAGTATCACAGGGTTTGTCTTCCCTTCCCTATTCTATGCTGATAGAGCATAATGCTCTACGCTTTTGGGGCTTCTAGGAATTTATGCCAAAATTGAGAATTAAATGTATTGTATCTGCTCTGCAAGGATGGATTGTTAATTAAAATGTTTGAACATTTTTATAAGTGCTGGAATTTTTGAGAATACTGCTTTAGATACACGGTGTGAAATGTATTTTTATTTATCAACAGGAATATAATTCTGATTCTACTACTACTAACAGCGTAAAAATAGCAAATAATAATGGTGGTAGCATATACCAATTACATACAGTAATATTAGTGATAACATACTGGCTCTTTGCCTCTTTACCCTTTTAGCACTCTCGAAAATGACTTTTGCTATTGGGGTTGTGGAGCATGAGGCACCAACTTTCAGTGTCTGATTTTCTGGTATTTCTGTCTTGCTGAATACAGGCGGCATTGGGTTTACGTGGGAAAGCCCCACTCGTGAGACTTCTGGTCCACCCTGAAAGACCCCGAGGAGGCACCCACGCATCTCTGTGCCCATGTGAACTGAACTCAGAGGCCAAGGGACAGATCTTTGCTCCTCTGAACTCAGTAGCAGAGCCTCAGTGATATTTCACCCAAAGCTTTTTGCCTGTCTTTATTTTAAGGATCTCGAGCTATTGTGAAACTCGTGCTGACTCTGCCAAGTTTGACAGTTACTCCCAAATTCATATCAAGGCCTTTACTGGAAAAATTACCATGTTAATCAGAAAATCTGTCTAGCTTAGGTACGATTATTCACAGGGTTAGTAAAAGGCACACAGCAGTGTCTAGCAGAAAAGTTACATACCAGGTTTTCTTCGCAAAGTTCTCTGAACTGGTAAAATTTCTGGGCCATGAGAAGCTGGGCACTGCCCACTGCAGTTCGGATTTTCCCTAGAACTGAAAGAAAAAGAAATGTAAGTCACGATGCTTTCTTTGTTGTGGGCAACTAAAAGCCTATAAAAAGGGAGGAGAAAGCTGTGCAGTAGTCAGCTCTGGCTTTCATAAAGCATGTTATCTTTCAGTCACGGATTAGAGAGAAACTGGTAAGTCTGAGGTCAGATCTGCACCAGGTAAAGGCGTACTGCAAGGGCTCCCAGGGCAGCTTGCATTGGGAAAAATACTCATCTGTTGCTGCCGCATACTCTCATTCCCCCAGTAAGACCAGTTCCAACCACCAAAGAGCACTTCTATGGCAGTATAAATATGCCTAATCAAAAGCTTTTGCAACCTGTATAGAAAGCTCTCCAGAAGTTACACCTCTCGTCATCACTGTGACCCAGGCTCAGGTTTTGCACGCAAACCCAGCTCCCTGCACAAGGATATGCGGCTTTCAAACCCTGTGATGCCATCTACACGGTTTGGAAAACACTGTGTCTACCAGCATTTCTGCCATCTCACTTAGCAACTCGGCGCCTTGTTTTCAGATTTAGCTGAGTGTTGCTCGATCTGAGCCCCAGAAAGGGAACAGTGATTTTAACGCACATCGACGAATCTCATTCAGACCTTCTGAGTGTTTTCCATGAGCACAATGTGAAGTAGCTTCTGCCTTTGAATCAGGATGCCCAGGCATACTTCAGGGAGCAATCACACCCTGCCCTCTCCTCCATGCTGGAGACCTGGAGGGAGGCATCAAAGGGTCCTAGCCCAGCTCCTGCGCTGCCTGGGGACTCCTTTGTAGAGACAGCTGGGTACTTATGGTCTCTTTGGACTGACAGAGTACTGTGAAGGACTGCAGTGAATCAGAAGACAACCCATAGTAAATGCTTCTGAACAAAACCGGAGCTCACACTGTTTTGGTTGCATTCAACCTCACTGAAATGAAGGGGTTTTACTGCTGCAAGGGGTAGTTGAGAATACGCTACCTGAAACCGAGGCACATGCTGGTGCATTCAGAGACCTGCATTTCCCTGGGGCTTTGCTGAGTTCTGGTCAGGGGTGGGTGTGTGTGCGCACGTGCACGCGTGCACATGTGTATGCATGTGAAAAAAGCAGCAAGCATGCAGAAATGCAGCACGAAGACAGACATCACCTCAACTGGCAGTAGGACAGTGAATCCAGAAAAGAGAGTGTGATTTTGGGGACTGCTGATTGAAAGAAAATTCATGCTGTGAGCAAGAAAGCAGCTACTGGTTTGTTTGAGACTTTCAGTGCTCAAGAAAAAAACCACCAACAACTATGCTTTATGCACTGTCTTTAAATAAACAGGCTGGCATCATGGATGTCTCTGGCTCCACCATTAATATTCCCTCTCAGCTGAAGCAACTTATTATCCCCCAATTCTTTGGTCAAATATTTATTTTAAAATTAATTTCATTTAATAAAAAAAATATTTACCACGTCATTAATGAAAGACATGAATGGCAGCCACTGTGTCACAATTTTCACTATCATTTCTACTCATAGATATTTGCATTGTCCCAGCCCTCATATAAACACAGCAGCTTCTCCATGACAAATTTACAGTCTGGATACATGAGGCAGGTGAGGGAGGAACAGGAAAAACAAAGAGATGAAGCTCAAGTTGAGTGAATTGTTGGCAGAGCCTAGAAGAGATACTAGTCCTAAGCTGCCATCCCCTGTACCATCTCCCAGGGACAGTCACTTTTTGTATAAAACCTAACACAATGTTAGCAGAGCTCCGCTGGGAAAATACTCCTAAGTATTAGTATTACTGTAAGTATTAGTAATTACTATAACTATTAGTAATACTATAAGTATTACTGCTTACCACAATGAAAAATAAATAGATACAACTTTGCTATAACCCCTTCTGACAAAATTTTTAGGGTCTCACGGTCCTCTGACCTGCCTCAGTGCACGCCAGCAGCTTGCAGCCAGAACTCCACCATGCAGTGTTTGGTAAGAGAAAGGCCTCTCCCCGGGATTCACTTGCATAGCCACACGCTAAGCAAACTGGTGCAAACACTCATGGTGACCTGAAACCAGGCACACAGTAGTACAAAACCTGTGTTCTGCTCCTTCAAGGCAAGTGCCTTTTTCTTCAGCAGCCTTAAAGCTTGCTCCTTAAGGCTGCTGAAGGAAAAGTGGGATGCGGAGTTCATTTATACTTTAGACATACAAAGGGAAAAAAAGAGAGGGGGGGAGAGAGTCTTTTCACATTTTTTTCAGAAACTATAGGAGAGAGCTCTGTGAACACACACAGAGCCCAGACTTTCATTTTGTTCCCAGAACTCAGCTCAGCACTGCCAGAAAATAGCCGTGAGCTGGAAGATTCGCTAAGCAGAATATTTTCAGCATATTGCGCAGGGAGTTTTGCACACAACTCTCATTATTGTTAGCAAGGCTTGCGTGTCTAATTCTATGCGCACAGTGCTGAAAATGGACCCCTTGGTGTGTCTAGTCATTTATGCAACCCAATATGCAAACCACTCAACTGAAAGGACTCTTCAATAGTAGGAGGAGCTACTCTGGGAGCTTTCATGTGGTTCCCATTGTTATGAAAACTCTTCCCACTGAGTATATTTGGGAACAGCTGCCTCATCTGGAGCTCGGCCACTCTGACGCTTCCCAAGACTTGAGATGGGGAGAAAAAAAAACAGTCTCTCGACTTCTTGGGACAAAAAAAGGCGGGCTCTTACTGGAAACCTGCACCACCCGAGTTGGAAATCACATCCCAAGCACGAAGAAATGTAAATACACCTTGTTGGTGATGGACGGGAATGTGCCCCTTTCTTTGAGGGAAGAGGAGCTTAATATTCAGAGATCTCAGCAGAGGGAAAAGGAAGTCCTTGTCCTTGGCTGCCTAGCGACTGGCTATTTGCCTAAAAACCATCATCCCAGCTGACTGTGGGATGCATGCTGATGCTGTTCTCTATTGTTGCCACTTCTGCTGTAGCCGCGGCTGTATCTAGTCAAGTGTCACTGATTCCTCGCCCCTCAAAAGCAAGCGGTCTGTTAATGTGCAACCAGTCAACAACCAACTCCGTCACGGAAGTTAGGGGGGGAAAAAAAAAAAAGACAAAGCATGCAAAAGACTGAAAGGAATCTCTCCAGAAGGCACCAAGCCTTATCAATAGTTTTGTTTCCAAATGCACGTTGCTTTTAGTGTTTCAAGGCAGAGTGCTCGTTTCGCTTACTCGGGCAAAACCTCCGGTGCCACAGAGAAAGGCCAAGGTGTAGTAAAAAAACCAAAAAGTAAAAATAGACTGATGCTTTCTGAGGAGAAAATCCTGCGAGGTTTGAAGCCAAATACCAAGAAAATAAGTGGAATTGCAAAGATAATGCTCAAAATACATAAGAAAAGAATTAGAGAAATCTTCAACAGCAAGGGAGATGGGGTACAGGAGAAAAACATATAAACATTCAAATCGATGTGTTCAGCTAATAGGATACAAACAAAATGTATAAAGCCAAGCAGCAACAAAAAATACCGACCCATCAAGATGCAATCATAATGGACTTAAACACCTATATAATGTTATTCCTGTCTGCTTTCTATTCCATACAGGGTTATACAGCACACTCAGCACTGCTGGATCTGAATGCCTTCCAGTAATGCATTAAGCAACATTATTAACATCCATCACATGCTTTGCTGTCACCCCTTCCCCAGGGGGAGAACTGTGACTACTCCAGTGTTTTGTTTTTATAGTTTGAATTTTTCCCTCCCCCTGCCTTGCTTTGACCTCTCTTCCTTGCAAATCCAGTTCTCTCCTGTGATGACTTTTAAGAAATTGATGGTTATGTCAATTCTGGAAGAACTGCTTCAGTATAGCCATTTGATATAATTCAGCTATTGTGGACTGTCTCCTCACTATTATTGTTTTTGATTAGGGGTTGCAGAATGTTATTCTAGGATAAACACAGGCCAGTGAATTTCCTTGTGTCTCTAACCCTGCAACCTGTTCTCCTTTTAAAATATTCTTAAATATAAACTTAGACTATGTGCTGTTCAAGCAATTAGCTCTTGCTTCTCTTGGTTCTAAGAACTGCATAGGACCTACTTTGGGATTCTGGAGCTCTATGTATCTCCTCCCTCTCCCCCCATTTTCACGGGAAAAGAAATGAAACAACAAAAAAAGGAATTTCAAACACAAGCAAAAAATTGGTGATATGGTCATCTGCTCTACCTTGGAAGGAGACTGTGTGTGTAATGAGGATAACAAAATAGAAGAAAACAACAACAAAAAACACCTGAAGTGATGTGAAAAGTCATCACATAGAAGCCCCGGGAGTTTTGAGGAGCACAGCATTATTTCACCTTAAAACACCAACGGATCTCTTTGCATTTCAACTTTGACAGGCCCCAGGGTCTAACAAGTGACAAAGGAGGCACTTTAGAACTGTGACTATCAAATGCCCTTACTGTGAAAACACCTGGTTGGTAGGCAGGGCACAAGCTAGGGAGCAGAAAACCAGCGGCTTGGTCATTGCCCCAGGAGCAAGTGGAAGGAACAATAGCCAAAATTACAGGGACACAGCCTGACATTTGCGTTTGCAGATGTTGGCTGGGCACTGTGCATATGAAGAAATCCTGCCACAGAGCTGTCACAATCCATTTCCAAGCCAGGATGGACCAGCATTTTAGCCTATTCATGTTGACAGACCTACATTTAAATAACGCCAAGCATCACAAAAGCCAGGAAATTCAAAGTTAAAGCTGCTGCTCAGGTCTTAAGCTCAGCTATTAAGGAGAAAACAGCCAACCGGAGCAGCCTATGGAAGGGGCAGTCCTTGCTTTGAGTCATATTTACTTATAAGAGTGATCTCATTGAAATTAATAGGGCTATCTGTGTGAGTAAATGCTGTTCACTGGGAATAAAGCAGTTTCTGTATGTACTCTGACCTACTTGGCTTTTATTAGCACACTTCATGTTTTTTCCCTAACTACATTGTTTTCTTGCTTGCGGATTTCTCTTTTTTCCTTGCTAGCCTTTGGACACTGGCAGGGCTTCCAGCCCGGAGCTGGCTTTCCTTGGAGAAGCCCTCGCAGACGGACAAGTCCCTTCTGGGGAGAAAAGAAAACCGGAGGAAGAAAAGGACGAGTCGGGCAGATGGCCAGAGGCACGTAGCCAGGGGGATTCCAGCAGGACTTGGCCACACGTCAGGCTGGTGACCGTCCCTCTGCGCGGCTGCATCGGCCCGCTGCGGGATGAGGCCGCCTTGCACCTCCAGGCAGCCTGGACCAGGACGGCTTGGGGAAGCCCTTCAGAGGACTGGCAAATGGTTTTCCTTGCTCGTGGCTGAGAATGAACTCATAGGTCTCTTTTTCTTTTGCCCTGCACAACTATTACAAAAAATATACCTTTTCCTTAACTTTCTTCTCTTGTGTCTAGCCTTCAGTCTTTAAGTTTTCCTTTGAGACAATCAAAACAAACCAAAACAGCAGAAAGTGTGCAAGCATTGCATAATTTGCCAGAACCGGCTGAATTTGCAGAGACTCTGGTCCTAAGCAGCGAGAGTACTGCAGATTTGAGGTCAACCTTTGTTCGCAGACTAGTCCAGAGGAGTACAATGTACACACAAGACTGTTATAATGACATGTCTTGTCAGAGCCTTGGTTTTCTATTTTAGTTTTTACTTGATTGGCCTGACTTGTCTTGCCACTAAACCCACAATGCACCTGACTTGTGGTGAATCAGGCCCGCTGTTTGCTTCTGATGGTTATCTTCGCATCAAAGCCACATTACAACCCTATGTAAAAGAGAAACATTTCTGAAGGGGGACAAAATGAAGCCCCCTGGTTCTTCCAGAAAGGTTAATGCCCCCTGTGAAATAAAAACAACAGCAAAAAATTCAGCAAAAGCCAGCCCGAGGTAGTAGGTGTGTTCCTGTGCCTACCACGGCTGTGAAAAAAAGAGGCCAGAGGCTGCTTGCTAACAGCGCTGCGTGGGGAGCCAGACCTGTTGCTGCTAATTCTGTGTGTCAAAGGTTACGCTACAGCCTTGAGCCAAAAGTCACCAACATCAGTGGCGAGGCTCTGACTATATGAAATTTTGCAGGGGAGAGGCAGGAGGAGAGAGAAGCAGGTTGAGGAGAAAACCAAAAAAAAAAAAGGTGAACAATTAATTTCACTTGAGGCCTGATCCAAAGCATCAATCAGTTCTCACCAGGTGTTTAGCCTCCTCTCTCTAACATCTTTTTTTTTTTATGAGAGCCCTAGTGTTTGTAGCCAACATCCCTGTAACAGCAAAATACACAGAAACCATATCAAGTATCCTAGCTTCAAGTGTGAGTGGTATTCATCTGCTTGTTACACATGCTGCGGCTCTATCAGAAAATGATTTCAGATAAAACCAGAATATACTATACAATAAATAATTCATGGCGGAAGGGGAGCCACATTTCTCTCTATATTGGCATTTCATCGTGCAGCCACTGAACCACAGCTTGTTTTTATACACAGCAGCAGACTCCATTTCCCAGCTAGAAACATTCAATCCCATCTGGTAGATTCATTCCCAGCTAGATAATACCCAACGTATCTATGTAACATACAAGCTACTGTCAAACAGCAGCGAGCCGTCTCCCCGAGACAGCTGTTTCGCACAAGGGCCGCATTGTCTGGAGGAAGCGTGGATCGTTTTACGCGGAGCGCCGGGGGGACGAGCCCTCTGTCAGCTGCCATGGCATCGAGAAAACCTCGCTCATCACACGTTCTCGTTATTTTGTTATCTGGCCAAACACACGCTGGGGATGTCAGGTTGAAAACAAAGGATGCGTTCCCTGCTCTGGTTATATTTCTTTAGGAAAACCAAAGCAAACACATCTCTTCTGCTCCTTTCCTCCCTCTCTTCAACGTTGAGAGATGTATGAAAAAGACATATTTTGGGGAAGGGTTTGCAACAGCCAGGCTTTTGTTTCTGGCACTACTGAGCAGGCAGTGCGGCCCTGACCATATGCTTTTCCTTGGCACCAGGTAGAGCAAGGCGTGCTGAGCTGCAGCAGAAAGCTCTGCGCAGCCTCTGTGGGAGGCAGCTGCCACGTGCTGGAGCGGCTGATGGCGTCACACTGAAATCAGTACCTCACCGGTGACCACAAAAACCAGGTGACGCCTTTCCTCCTCCCATTTCCAGTGATCTTGAGAAGTGCCGGTCAGAAAAATAAAGAGGAGCAATAATCCGCAGGAGACGTGCCATGTGTGCTGTAAGGAGGCATTGGGAATAGCCAGCCTAACCACTCCTCTGTCCTCCCCATAACTGACTTCTCCCACCGATTGCTCAAAGAAAAACCCTTTAAAACTATCATATATCAAAGACACCAAGACAATGAGAGAAAATTCTGTACATAGATATACACATTCTGCATGTAACAGCCTTGTAAAATTCACTTCATGTTCTTTTCCCAAGGTGAATAACTACTTTGGTGCATAAATAAAATACTTGTAGGTTTTTCCATTATTATCTGTTCATAGAATCATAGAATAATAGAATGGTTTGGGTCGGAAGGCACCGTTAAAGATCATATAGTCCACTCCCCCTGCCATGGCCAGGGACGTCTTTGACTAGAACAGGTTTCTCAAAGCCCCATTCAACCTGACTTTGAGCACTTTTAATGATGGGGCATCTACAACATCTCTGGGCAACCTGTTCCAGTGCCTCCCCACCCTCATCATAGAAAATGTCTTCCTTTGTCCAATCTAAGTTGCTGTGGCAAAGAGAAAGCAAGTGGGTTTTGTGGCTCGGACTTAAGAATGTTGTGTATTTCCTATTTGTTATGTGCTCACACTTCTTTTTCAATCTAAAATCTCTTAGCTCATGGGGTATATTTCTTGCATACTAACGACAGAAAACCTTTGTATTCTGATACATGTTCAAAGAGATTTTTGAATGTATCGATGATATAAATTAAAAATGAGGATCAAATACTCTAAAACTTGGGGAATCTGGATCTGCTTTGAAGGCTAATCCTTCTGTATTTTTCCCTTGGAAGAAATCGTTAGCCTATTATGTAACAGAAAATTTGTAGAAATAGAAAACCTTAACATACCTTAATGTTAGTGTTATCTCATACTTTCCATTAGAAGTCAATTTCCAGTTGCTTACAATAGTGTTTCACTATCTAGATCAAACTTCTCTATGGTTATTTCTTTTATTGGGTTGAATGGAAAGTTCCAGTGGAAACAGCTTATGCATTTCTAAGTATTAAAAAAATATTTTTTACCAGTGTCAATTCCTTTCCTTCCATAAATCAAAACCTTCACATCTCAAAAGAATTCTAGCACCTTCCTTCTTGAGAGGAAGGGTTAGAAATTTGGAAGAAGCAATCCTGGACTAGAAGTAGTAGTTCTTGGTTTGGTAGGAGCTAATTTTGGGGTCGGAAAAGTCTTATTTGCTATATCCAGGAAAATACGCTTAGGTGCGCCTAAATTATACAATATTGTACTCTCTCTATGCAGCTGCTCCTTAGTGTTTTCTAGAAGCTCCCTGCTAGAATTTGAAAAAGCTTCATTCACAAGGAGCATGCCCCTAAGCTCACAGGTTTACCTATGTCCAAAAGTTGACAGTTATCAATAGTACTGCTCCTTGTAATGGAAGTAAATGGAAAAAAACTTCCATTTTTACTGGGAGAAAAAGTTCTGGACAGGGAGCCACATGGTCAGCTCTTTGTCCCTAATTAGAGTGAATGAGTAAGTCGTGAGATACCCAACCCTTCTTACTAATGAAGGCTTACTAGACATTCCCATTACCTTACAGGTACGGTAATACTTCTGGCAGTGGTGACAACTGAGACGTAGTTTGCATGTGTGTGTTTTTATCACAGAATATGGAGAGCTTGTTTTACCAGGAAGATCAAAGAGGAATGAGAACTGCAAGGGAGATGAGGGGAGACTGGAGAGGGGAAGAGAGGGAGAACTACTTGGAAGCACACCTGAAATCTCTTTCAATTGGGAGAAGCATCTGAAGACTCTGATGCCAATCACCATCTAAAAAGGCAGCTAAAATATGAATTTAATGAAAAGGAACTAGAATCTGTTCAATTATATTCTAAAGTTATGAGAAGTGATTCAAATGGAAGAGTTAGGAAACATTAATACTACAAGATCCCTAACCACAATCTCCTAATTATCCATTGAACTATGCAATCCCAAAATCTAATACCTCTGGAGTTTCAGAAGTGCCAAGCATTTGCATTCCCTGTCAACTTTAATAAGGATTATTATATAGATACATACAGTCCTTTTGAGAATCACAACCATAGCTTCATTAGCTAAATAAGAAAGGGCACGATACAGAATCCACTGGAGTAAATTTGACCTATATTAAATACTTTTTTGTAGTTGCGATATTATTGTACGCAGTTACTTACTGTCCTCAGGTAAGTTGTTTTCCCGTTCTTCTCTCTCCATCTGTTGGCACCAGCCCTCCATACGATCTCTCTCTGCCTGAAGTAGCTTCAGAAACCAGTGGCCATCTCGTGGGCACACTGACCTTTGAACAGCTTCCAGAGGATCTTCAGTGATAGAGTCAATCCAGGGGTCAGGAGGAGGTAAAATTGACGGATCAAAATCTGTATCAAAGTCATCATCTACTGCACATGCATGGTAATGGTTTCCTGACCCTTGTATGCTAACGGTAGAGGTGCTTGCATCTCGGGAAAATTGTCTTGATATTTGTCCAGAACATGTATTGTCCTCTTGAGGGTCTATTATTTCAAAGTTCTCATGGAAATCCAGGTCTGCTTGCACGGCTGTTGTTACACTATTAGATCGTGTAAACCTGCGAAAGCTTTGGAAAGCACAAACACAAAATATTTAGAAAGCTTTTTCTAGGTAACTTTGTAAGAAAGGACTTACTCTGCCACTCCTCCTAAGACTGGCAGTCATGGCTTTCGGGCTACACTCAGGTGTTTTTTCTGGAAATCATCAGGATAAACTTCTTTTCTCATTGCAAGCCAACAAACAAACATCTCTCTTTTTTTCTGTGCAAGCTCACCATTTATATAAGCAAATACCCCTAATTGTTGTGTGGTTTAACAAAGCCAGAGGCTAGCCCAAGAGACAGCTAATGGTGTCAGTAGCTCAGGATTTTAGGTTACCAATTAATGAAAAGTTAAAGGACCCCAATTTTAAGAAGTGACTTCTCTTTCAACCTTCAACACTGGTTTGAAGTTGCACACTCCAACTTACATGCCACATTTAAAAATCATACATGAGACTGATAAGATAGTCATACCAATGACTCCACTATCTATGTCATGTTATACATTCAATTTAAAAAGAAGATAAATATTTTTAACCCAGATAAGTATTTTGTATTGCTTCTTCAGAGTTACTGTTCATAATTATGTACCTGCTAGTTTACTACTTCTGCAAATACCACTGCCATCTCTCACAATTTTAGTGCCCATTCCCACTGTTAAGACAGCTTGTTTTTTGCATCCAACCCTCAGTTTCAAAATGGTCTTCTCTTTTTCACCAAAGCTAGCATTCTCAGTCACTGTCTATAGAATAGAATAGCATAATTTCAGTTGCAAGGGACCTAAATGATCATCTAGTCCAACTGCCTGACCACTTCAGGGCTGACCAAAGGATAAAGCATGTTATTAAGGGCATTGTCCAAATGCCTCTTAAGCACTGACAGGCTTGGGGCACGGACCGCCTCTCTAGGAAGCCTGTCCCAGTGTTTGACCACCCTCTCAGTAAAGAAATGCTTCCTAATGTCCAGTCTAAACCTCCTCTGGTGCAGCTTTGAACCATTCCCCTGCCTCCTATCACAGGATGCCAGGGAGAAGAGACCAGCACCTCCCTCTCCACTTCCTCTCCTTGTCGTGATGGCTGCTACCCTGTAGGTAGCTTCCTTTCACCTTGCATAGTTTCCCTATGTTGGAGCCTCTGAAGGCAGAGAGCAAACCCTGAGGGTAAAGGTAAAAGCAGGGGAGAGAGGAGGTTTGGGGCTTTGGGTTTGGGTATTTTTTCTTTAAGTAAACAGCACCCCAAATTCTGCAGTCCAAGGCATCTGAGGTGAAGAGATTGATAGAGAAGGAGCAGAGGAAAAGTGTAAGGAGTAAGAGACACCTAATGCAGTTGCAGGGGATGGTAGTGAGAGCAGATCTGACAAGCGAATTGTGGAGGGAATGAGTGGAAAATCTGCAGGAAAATAATTACAGAGAGTTGGGCTAACTCAAGAAACTGATGCACCGAGGAACACAGGAAAAATACAAGAGAGGCAGACATCTGTCTCACCCCATGATGAAAGGAGATCAAGAAGGTAGAATAACAAAGTAATTAACGTAGATGTTACTTAAATTAGTAATTTTTAGGCTTCAGAATGAACATAGTTTTCAACTGAATAGGGACAGATTCCCACTCCTTCTTCTTACTCATCCAGGATGCCTGCACACTCATGCTGCTGGTACCTTCCTTTTAATTTGTCTACAATCTCACATTTACTCGTGAAACCAGTGTTAGGACCTGTTTGCCTGTGATATTTTGGCTGTTTTGCCTGTACCAGTTTTATTTTTAGTTTGAGCTCAAGCAGCAATGAAAATGCTGAGGAGACAGTGAAGCTGGATGCTGGGAACCATTTCAATCTCTTTCATTTATATTCCACCTTCCACTGAAGGGCCCATTAGACAAGTGCAACTGACAGCAAAACTTTGTCAAGTGTATTTAGTCTGCAGTTGGGGAGGGAACAGATGGAAAGATGCTGAGGGAGAATTTCATGTCCTGTATACCTGATGCATCCAGGTACCTCAGGAGGAGCGCAGCAGACTTCAGGGAGGACTGTATCAGGTCCTGCTGATAGAGGAAATTAGTGGCTGTTGATCTTAGGCTTTGAGAGGAGTAGAGCAAAGCAACGCAGGAGTTGAGAAGGGTTCTTCCTTTAATAAAAGACACCAATTCCTTTGCAGAAGAAAGCTACAAGTAGCTTCTCAGACACACCAATCCCTGGAAAACTTTAATAATAGATTGTGTGTCGTTTTTTTATAATGGCCTAGAATACAAACATTTTAACGTACTGCCTGCCACTTGCAGTTCTTTTGAAACAGGTGTTGTTAAATGATGCAAAAGTCACGGTTACGCCACCATAGTTTTGCATGATACGCACCAGCAAAGTGAAAAATATGGAGCGAGCAGAACTCTACAGCTCGGTAGTATTTATCCTTTGACAAGCAGGACAAAGCATTTTGCTACAGACTGATACAGCAGAAAAAGTTAAAAGGGAGGACAAGGATCATTGGAGATATGGTATGGCTTCCATAGGAGGAAAGAGATATCTTGGTTTAGAAAACAGATGGCTGAGGAGGGATATGAGAGCCCTATGAAATCCCAACTAGGTGGTGTTTTACCATTTCTCAGAGTGCAAGAACTGTGGGGAGGAAGGCAGCCAGTTGCAAGGCTTAGAGGTCTAAAGATTTAAGTCTAGCGAAAGGAAGCACTTCTTCACACAATGTGTAATTAAATTGCCACAGGATCCTGAGAAAACCAAAGGTAAAAATAGGTTCAAAGAGAACCTGATCAAATTCACAGGAGATAGGTCCAGGAAGAGCTCTTACACAGATGTGGTATCTAGTTTAGGAAGTCCCTGAACAACAGACTGCTAAATTGGGAAGGTCTACTGGGAGAAGTAGTGCTTTAGACACACCCTTTATACTTTTCCGAAGTATCTGCTACTGGCCCCTGGCAGAGAAAAGCTATTACACTGGTATTAGTGGTTAGAAAGGCTTTAGCTTTAGGCTGACATTACAAAGAAAATCTCTTGGTCCACTTTGTGCTAGTTTTTAAAAAATTGCTTGAATTTGGCCACCAACCTGACAAATCCCTTATCTACACTGAAGTGCACACATGCATACAACCACACAGAGACACAGGCACGCTAACGTGTGCCCACACAGGCACATGCTCACACAGGATTTCTTTTCAGTCATTTAGTCAGGGTTCACTGAGAGCCAAGGCATTAGTACACGGTGTACTCTTCCACACCTTCCAGGGTACTGGAGAGAAAAGTAAATCCCTTAATCCAGCCTTGTTCTTCTCTGTGCCCCTACCTCCACATCACAGCCACCTTCTACTTTCCCCAGTGCCCTAGACTCTACTATCCTTCTATTTTAGATGACCATTTGTATTTTCAGTTAACATCCTGGCTTTTCAGTGTACACCAAATCCCAAATGTGAAAACATCAAGGTTTACTTGCCAAAAGGATATATTGCTGGAGGCACTACATTTCAAAGCTTTCAGGAGTGTACTCTTACTGTGTTCAACATGAGCTAGTACCACCACAACCAGACTCTGCTCAACAAATAAAATAGAATGACCTACTTTTTTTGCCTTTGTTTTACCTATATAATGGTATGCTACAGGCTTGCTTGACAGATTCTTGGCACTGGATTGTGTAACCTATCTGTCTTCCAAACTACTTGGCAATAGAATATAGCATCAGTTCAAAATTAAAAGAATACTCCCAAGGAAATGTATGTTGAATGAAATGAAAGTGCAGGAAGGCACCCACTATCTGCCTACCTTCAGCATATTTATATAAAGTGCCTAATAGATGGTAATTTTAGTCTCTGACATAGCTTCCTCACTCACTTCCAGGATGTTTTACTCTTACAAAATACCATTTGTATCCCACGTGAGTTTTTTTTTTTTTTTTTGATTTGCTCTCAGTTAAATCTCTGTACCACAGGAGAGCTGCTAAAGCTAATGCCTAAGTTTTCGCTGCTTCTACACATACAAAACATTCACAGGTCTACCTAAAAAAAAAGTTTTCATAAATTGCTGGTAATCATTAAAAACAGAGATTTGCTGCTTCCTCTGCTTTCAGGCTTGGCCCTTTTGTAATCACTTGTGCCCTGCAGGCACAAGGTGTAATAATTACAGCTTCAGAGAACTGGAGCAGATATCTGGCCTAAGGTGCAGAAAGCCATGAAACCTCAGACCGGATAAACCAGTATGGAGAACAACAGCATGATGTGTTTTGAACAGCAACAACAGGGTCACTTGTTAGCATTGGACTCTCTGTTTCTAAGTCTTCTTTTACTGTCTTTTGAAAAACATGTTTACATTTCAACTCAGAGAAGTTCTTTCTTTCCTAAAAAAAACCCCAAAACCCAGAAAAGATCTAGGTTTCAAACCAATTGATGTATGTGAGCCTCAGAGGCACTTACATTAAATTCAGCCCGCCTCACTTTACCCATTGGCTGTACTCTTTCTTGGTTGTGGGCTTCCCTGCTAAGGCTGCAGCTGCTGTCAGCAGAACAAAACAAACTGCAGGAGTTAGCAGATATGGATCCTGCCATAGCAGGATCCTCAGCCATACATCTTCAAGCTACACAATCTCGTGTGCTTTGCTCTATTCCTACCCCTTCTCCCATTCATATAGTCTTTTTTCATCACAAAGAGTCTTTGCAGGGAAACTCTAATCCATTATGGCAATGTTAGAATAGACTATTTCAGTTGGAAGGGTCCTACAACGATCACCTAGTCCAACTGCCTGACCAATTCAGGGCTGACCAAAGGATAAAGCATGTTATTAAGGGCATTATCCAAATGCCTCTTAAGCACTGACAGG